ATATATATAGTATATAATTGTTTCCGATTCAATTGATGGTCAAGCGTCTTGTGGAAAATACAAATTTAATATAGCTATTTTAAATATTTTTATTATAATGGTAATAGTAATAATGCGATGAAATATATTTTGGTTTCAACTCTTGACTGTAGTAATAGGTATCGAATTAAATAAATAATAATAATTTAATAGTATACAACAACATTTCACTACCTTACTACCATTACCAGCTGTAACAGGCATTGCACCAGAATGCATTTATGTTAATCATGTGCGATTCCTCATTAATGTGATATAAACGATCGAATTATAGACAATTTCTTTTACCAATTACCTATTAATGTCATGGGGATCTTGAAAACCACTAGTTCGGGCATTATGATTTCATATTTGACACCTTTAAGGCCTACCTACTCCACCTATATATAAGGTTCTGACATCAGTTCGAAAAGGCACACTTCACTTGTCGCTGCTTCGAACATCTTCTACAATACTCGAACGTCGCAATCCAGAGACTCTTACTGAAATCGAGCATAATACAAGACCAACGAGACCATCATCATGTTCAAGTGAGTGTTGTTTGTTTTAAATAATTTGACAATCGATATGTGGCCATCTAAGCGTCTATTCAAGTGTAAATCGAGATTTTTGAGATTTTTACAAATAAAAAAAACAAAAAGTTTAGATAAGAGATCACATTAAAACTTTGGTAATTCCTGCTGTATTTGCATAGTTTACTACTAAAATGCCACTTAAAACATGTCGTCTCATTACTTAATCTATATCAATATAAAATTKTTTGTATATAATAGGTAGGTACCTAATAGGTATAGCTAATAGGTATTACCTATACTTATATTATTTGAATTTATAGATTCTAAAAATCGTTGATTGACTAATAATGTTTGTTGCTGATATAATTTTAAATTATATTGTCATCTGCTCAGAAATTCTATTTTTAATTAGACAATAGTCTTCGTACCTATACCTAATATAAAAATAGTAAATAATCATTTAATTTAATTCAGATTTTATTTTTTATGAAAAAATGTTGCAGTAGTAGGTAYATTTTTTCATGTTATGTATAGTAATAATAAAGTTTAACAGCCGACCATATGATAATCATCAGTTAAAATGTTTTTAAATGTCTTTACTCTAAATCACAATATTTAGATCTGATAAATGTWCGTAAAACGTAATTGATTATGATTAAAATATTAAATACTATAAATACTAATTATTCATCATAATATCTTATTATTTTGTATACGCATTTTTTAATAAATAATTTATATTTTTATCAGATCGTTTTATCTTAATATACTCACGATTTGTTTGAATGATTTTTCCCTATATGATAAAATAAAAAATAAAAATAAAACTGTGCAATTACAAATAATCATAAATCATATATTCAATGCTCTCGCAGGTTCACGGTGACGTTGTTGATCACAGCGATGGCCGCGTCTGCGTCGCTAGCCGTCAGCATACCAGTCGAACACCGTCCACAGGAACCAGCCGCGGACTCCAGCAACGTGGTGATGCACAAGAAGCACGTCAAACCCGATAAGGTCGTGTTCATGTCGGAGGTGTCGGCGTCGCATGTTGGCGAGGGTGGCAGCGAGGACGGCAACGAGGGCGGCAACGATGGGGGCAGCGGCCTACTGGAATTGGGGCTATCCGGTCTACTCGAGGTGGCCAGTGCACCGAAGAAGATCATCGGCGCCATAGCCAGTTTCGTGTTCGGCAAACTCAAGTTGTTGGACCTCAAGAAACTCGTCAAGATCACGATGCTGGCTGCCCTGGTGACCGTGCTCGGCGCCGTGGCCTCAGTGGCCGTGGCCGGTTTCGTGTCTGTCGTGACGGTGGTGTGCACGGTGCTGCCATATCTGAAATTTGTATTCGGCGGTCACCACCATAAAGGCGAGTCCACGTCCGAGTCACAGATCGACCTGGTCAGCGAGTTCATGATGGGCGCGCTTGAAAAGTACAGCAACAACAGCAACAAGCGCAAGGCATGAGTCCAGGGTAGCCGCTGTGCCGCGGAAAACGCCCATCAATAGTTGTTTCGGCAATACGGTTAACATTTTATTTATTGTACATCCAACAAACCGATATCGTTGAACTGTGTTACGTAGTATTGCGAACAATAAACTATAAATATAATGTAACTTTTATGCATTAAATTAATTAAACAGTCTCATGGTATATAACTATAGAACATAAKTATAATATAATATTATAATATCTAATAGGCACTTTTGAACGTCTAATTCATGTTTTATTTATTATAGTAGTCATATAAAAATACAATATTGTGTTACGATCACACATCACACGAACAAACATACGTATATAAATGTATTATATAGGTATACATTTGGTATAAATATATAGTCTGTTAAAAAGTGTTCAAATAATTTTTAGTGCTAGGGATCTCATATTTACTAAATTTAAAAATACATTTTAATTTTGATTGGGCAATTGTTATAACAGTACATGCAATGTTAACAGATTATAGAACTTTATATGGTTAAAGTTTTTGATGYGCTATCAAGTAACATTTTTGTAATAGGTATAGTTATATATATATATATATGTATTATATATAATTATATTATTATTAAGCATTATATCATAGTTCGAGTAAGTGTCAAATAGAAGATTTTTTAAATACGAACATCAAAACAATCTATTTAATTCAAAACCCAGACCACAATATTATGAACAATTTGTGATATGAATAGGTATAACTACTCTAGAAAACTAGAAGTATTTATTTGAAAAAAACGAAATGTTAACTGCTGAGTCCCCTCGAGCACGTAATTAAATGTAAATTGTAAGGAACTGTTTATAACTTTGAAAGTAACTARATCCTTTTACCCTGGAAAATTTGAAAGTTGTTTTTGGTATAACAGACCTAGTTAGTTTATTAGAACCTCCAGGAACGGCGTTAGGATTTGCGGGGCCCCGGAAAAAATAAATAACAGTCACATTACATATTATCCAAACTAACTAATCTCTGAACAGTATAAAATATCATTTAAGAACTGCGGGGCCTTGATTATAATTTTAAAATCGCGGGGCCCTGGGCAATTGCCCCCCTCGCGCCGTCCCTGAGGACCTCAAGGAGTTGATGGTGTCAAGTAGGTACTATACAAAATAATCGAGAAATAAAAAAATAAGGATAAACGGTAATATTTACTCACAACTAGTTTTTATCAAATTCAATTATTTTTTTATTTTTGCTATAGTTCAAAAATGATTTACTAATTTTCACTAAATATAAAGAATTTCTAGGCATGGTACTTATACAAATTTCAAAATATTTCGGAATTTTTGTTCATTTTGTAGTTTATAGGCTATTTATATTTGGTCAAAAAACTTGAAAATTAAAAAAAATATTGTTCATTCGTTGTACATCTGTACTTTTAATTTATAAAAATTTTAAAATATCAAAAATACCTATTATTTACACGATTATATATTCATTGACTAGCTAATTTTTACAGCTTTGCACCTTTGCTTACATAACTGTAGTTTTATAATTTATTATCTTGAGCGACGCCTAATAGCTTAAGTACTAAAGAGTAAGTTTAGTAAAAAGTACAATAATACTACACTATATAATTTATTAAATTCTTAATTCCGTCCCCAACGAAGAAGGACGTAAGCCACGTAACTCACTTTTTTTCATTTTTCAATTTTATTTATGTGCTTATCTTGTGACGTTTTTTTTCTTATTTTCCCACGAAAACGGCATTATCTCTATTCTACCAAGGAGCTTATAAACATCGAACTATTATAAACTCCCAATATTGTCTTTCCCACCGAAAATAAACGTATCTTTGTAACGTCCTTTTAATATAATAATATTATTCCCCGCGAAAAGAGACGTAACTYAGTTTCTATTTTTAAAATTAGAACAAAATATCAACAACTTAGATAATAATGATCGTATTGGATATTTTACAATACTATAATAATATACTGATAATGATAATGTTATTATCATGCCGAGGATAAAATAGGCATAAGTAGACAACATAATATAAATTTGATTATTTTGATTTCAATTTGTTTTCATTT